TTAAAAAATATGTAGAAAAAATAAAAATGTAAACAATCTCTATTAAAAAAACCTGGTGAAGGAAGACAGGATGGGTGCAGGTGAAGGCAGGATTATATGTTTGTAAGAAATGTGAAGTGCACATATGATGGTTTCAGTTCTGTGAAGGAGGAGGGCAAGGTCATCTACAGGGAGTGTGGGGGAGGAGAGGGCAACCAACGTTTGATGAAAGAGGGACTGTTTGAATTAACAGTGAAGACTAGGAAAGTGAGAAGACCTAGTTTGGATGATGTTGGGGTTGATTGGGAGGTTCTCGGGAACCAAATTGCCCTTCTTGTTTGGCTTTCTAGAGCAGTGAACAAACTGCTCATAACCAGGGCCGTAGAGAAAGCAGGTAACGCAGTTCATTCAGGTTTAGGGACTTTCCAGGTAGATGAAGTTAAAAAAAAAAAAAAAGAACAAAGGAGTTTAGGTTTTTGGCAAAATAATGAAATTATAGACTACTGTACTTTAAGCTAAATCAGAAGGGGAAACTAGAAAGGAATAGAAAGAAAGCTGATCAGGATCAATGAATAAGTGTCCGAAGAAAGTTGTAGGAGTAGCTAACAGGCACTTTGGTGGGAGAGGAGGTTGTGGTTGACAAAGATGCTTTAATTAGAGATTCTGAAACAGGCACAATTATAGTTGAAGACAGGGCCAAAGGGTGATGGGAGGAGGGGCGGCTTAGGTGGAGTCAAGGAGAAGGATGTTGAGATAAAAATAAATTGAGCAGTCCAGCCCTGGCCATGTAGCTCTCAGTTGAATAGAGCATCATCCTGATACACAAAGATTATGGGTTCAATCCCAGGTCAGGGCATATATAAGAATCAAAAAATGGGCCTGACCGGTTTGGCTCAGTGGATAGAGCGTCGGCCTGTGGACTGAAAGGTCTCAGATTCGATTCCGGTAAAGGGCATGTTGGTCGATGTTTCTAACTCTCTATCCCTCTCTCTTCCTCTCTGTAAAAAATCAATAAAATATATATATATTTTTTAAAGAGTCAGATTTTAATAAAGTAGGAAATTGGAGAAAAAGCTTGACAATGCAAGGGTTTTTGCAGCTTATGAATCATTAGTTTTATAGGCCACATGAGAGAGTTTAGAAGTTATAGTGAGACTGGTCTTATTCAAACATGAAACTAATCTTCAAACCTCCATAAATCGAGCACAGTCCCCCAAACCCTTGACTTCTCCATCTTCATTTTATTGAAATTCAGCTGGTTAATTTTTATTTTTCAGGATACTTATCAGCTGCATTTGCAAATTAATCAGAAGATGTACTTTTGACAAATATATTTAGAATCTACCGATTCTCTTTTATTTAGGATATACTTAAAAATATTAGGGAACTATTTCCAAGGTGTTGTGTGTGCAAATATGAGCATTTTTAGAAGTGACATTCCTCTATACTTTTTTTGGCAAAAAGAACACCACCAAATAATTTTTCAAAATATTCATTTGCAGTAACTTTCAAAAAACAGTTTTCTCAGTTGTTACACTATTAATTTTATCTTGAAGGAGCAGTTTTAGAACATTGTTTTTTAGTATCTATAAAATAGCATACTTCTGACAGCCACCTTATCATCATTGAAAAAGTCAGCAAAATTTGAATGCACTTGTCTTCTTGTAAAAGAAAAGTGCAAGTTATTTATAGGCTCTGACAACTACTTTAATACTCAGACAAGAAATACCAGCAAGTCTTTGAGTGGAGCCAAATATCTTTTTCATCAATTCTATTTCATCACAGCCCACCACTGTATAAAGATTCTGCTATGTAAAAGTCTTTTTTTTTCCCCCCCTTCAGAAATGAACTCATTGACATCATACCTTAATCACAAAAAAAATAATAAGTGCAAGCACCACTATCAATCCATCTGCACCGTGGAACTCCTGTCTCCCTCAAGATACCCATATGACTCATAAGCAGCTGGCATCCAGACTAAATAAGGACTGCAGTGTCCATCTGTATATTAAGCAGTGGCAAAGCTCAATTTTAGATTTAAAAATATATAAATAGAAATCTAACATTTTCTTTTAACATCCCAGTGGACCATCCATCACGCACACCCTGGATGTGCCTGCCTGTCCTACTCCACTGCGGGGGCCATTACTTGAGGATGGAGCAGCTTGAGACAATGACTGCTTCATTGTCGGGGAATGTGAGGCCTAGACAGGTGCAGTTCATTGAAGCCAGCAAGGCTTTGGTTAGATATAGCTTCCTAAAATGGCTCCATCCTTCATCAGTCTTGTGCAAATTATATAATCTCTGTGCTTCCATTTCTACATTTGTAAAATGGAATAATATTGTGAAGGAGATAACACCTTATGGGACTGATGTGAGGATTAAATAACCTTGTTAATGACACCATCATATATTTCTTAAACCCTCACAAATTGAGCACACTCCCCAACCCCTGACCTCTCCATCTGCTTCACAAAGATCATAGAGGCCATCCGTTGAGAATTTCCTAATTTTTAGGTCTCCCCGTGGCAAAACTCCTCTTATGTAAGTACAGTGCTTTCACTGTGCTCTGGCACCATCCCATGTTATCTTCTTTTGGTCTCTGTTTCATCGTTTATCCCTTCTTTTCCCAAATAATCCACTCGAATACTACTGGCCTTTCCATTTAGTTGGAAAGTGTGTTCAAGTATCTCCAACATTGAAAAGAATGTTTTTAAACTTAGGTAATAAGCTAAAACTCATATTTATACTCTCCCCTCATTTCTGAGAGAAAATAACAGTTTGTTTGGTATTTATAGACCAAGATAATTATTTTATTTTTTAAAATTTATGCATAGATTTTTGAGAGAGAGAGAAACATTAATTTGTTGTTCCATTTACTTATGCATTCATTACTTAATTCTTGTATGTGTCCTGTAGGGATTGAACCCCCAATTTTGGCATATCAGGATGATGCTCTAAGTACTTGAGCTACCCAGCCAGGGCTAATTCTGTAATTTTTGCTTTACATCTTTGAAGGCTCTTTTAATAGGTATATACATAGTTATATTACTAGAGGCTCAATGCACGAAATTCATGCAAGGGGCTCGGCCCTCACAGCCCTGGCTTTGTCCGAAAGGTTATCCAGAGAGTCATCTGGATGGTCCTTCTGCTATTTGACCTAATTAGCCTTTATTATATAGGATATTTGTTATTATATTGATACTTTTGTTATTATAAAATATCCCTTTTTACCTCCCGTAGTACCCGTGTCTTGAAATCTAATTTATCTGATATTAATATAGCCATTCCACTTTCTTATGCTTTACTATTTGCATATTTTTCTCTATTTACTTTCAAACTATGTGTCTTTATAATTTATTTATTTGAAGTGTGTATTTTATAGGTAGTAAATGCTGCTAAATATCTTACAATGCACAGGACATCTCCTCACAATAAAGAATAATCCAGCCCTGGCCCATTTGACTCAGTGGATAAAGTGTCCGCCTGGGGACTGAAGAGTCCCAGGTTCAATTCCGGTCAAGGGCACGGGCCTAGGTTGCAGGCTTCTCCCCAGTTGTGTGTGTGTGTGGCGGGGGGGGGGTGTGTGTGTGCAGGAGGCAGTCAGTGATTCTTATTACTGATATTTCCATATCTCCCTCCCTCTCCCTTTCTCTCCGAAATCAATAAAAGCATATTAAAAAATAAAAATAATCCAGAGCTAATATCATGAGATAACAATGAGTGGTTGGGGTGAAACTTGAGGAAAATAGAAATCCTTCAGATGATGTTATTACAGGGCTTTTAAACAAGGGATGTAAGGGTGATACTGATGCTTATGCTTTCCACTGATACTGGAGGGTTAGAGAAATTTGGGCATCCTAGAATCTTGATTTTGTTGTGTGATCCCCATTTCAAGTTTTAGTATCAAACCCTTCCCAATCAATACCCTATATTTTAAAGACTTGTAGCAAGGCTATGAAATCAACTAATGTTGTAATTTTGAAACTGCACAATTTTGTGTTTAATTTTCAGCAAGATTAATCTGCAGGTACAAAAATAAGGATTTCTGTTAAGGCTACTATTGAAGCTTTTGTTCTGAATGTTTAATGACTTGAAATTTCCTTTTCTTCTTTTTAAAAATATGTTTTTATTGATTTCAGAGAGGAAGAGAGGGATAGAAACATAAATGATGAGAGAGAATCATTGACGGGTTGCCCCCTTCATGCCCCACTCTAGGGATCAAATCCACAACCTGGGCATGTGCCCTGATGGGGAATCAAACCGCAACCTCCTGGTTAATGATTAATACCCTGTTTCCCTGAAAATAAGACAGTGTCTTATATTAATTTTGTCTCCCAAAGTTGCACTAGGTCTTATTTTCAGGGGATGTATTATCTTTCCATGTGCTAGGTCTTATTTTCAGAGGATGTCTAATTTTTGGGGAAACACGGTAGATTGATGCTCAACCATTTTACCATGCTGCCCGGGCTCCATTTCTTTCTTCTTATTTTTTTTTTAATACTTGCCCAAGAATATTTTTCCATTAATTTTAGAGAGAGAGGGAAAGACAGAGAGAAATATCAACGTGAGAGAGACACATTGATTGTCTCCTGCATGTCCCCTAACCAGGGCCCATGCTGGGGAGGAGCATGCAACCTAGGTATGTGCCCTTGACTGGGATCAAACCTGGGACCCTTTGGTCAGCAGTCTGATGCTCTATCCATGAGCAAAACCAGCTAGGGCTTTATTTATTTATTTATTTATTTATTTATTTATTTATTTATTTATTTTCCTTTCTCCATTTATGAAATTTCTTCAGTGAAATCAAATGCTACCACTCCTAGCCCACAGTTATTATAGTCACTATTACTGTCAGACGGTCAAATGTGGCTCTAGAGCATTGCTGAAGTTGTGAAGTTGATTACTTATGATGCCACTACATCCCATATCCCATTGACAAGTTGCTCAACATTGAATTTGAGTTTAAGGATATGACCAAACCAACCCACAATTCTCTATCTCAAAGTCTATTTCCTAAAACCACTCTTGGGGCCATTTCCTATATTAGGTTTCTATAAAGAAGCGAGAACTATGGCAGTTATCTTACCTAAGAAAATTAATGTAAAGAGCTATTGGAGACATATGTATTGGAGAATTGACAAGGAAAAGTGGAACAAAGATGTAGAAACTGCAAGAAGTAGATAGGATAGTAAAGGGTCAAGGTTGGGATTATTGGGACCAAACACTTGTAGAGGCCCCGGAGAGCCGGCCCTGGACCTAGCGGAGAACATGCTGCGGATTTACCTCTGCACCTCAGTAGCTCCGAGGAGGGCCCTGTGGTGCTGGGACCCTGACCTCTAAGGCGGGTGGCTGACTAACTGGTACTGGTATCTCTGAGGAATGTGATGAGGCTCCCTCTGGGAATATGTAAAGAAATCCAAAGCTAGAACCAACTGCTGGTGCTGGCAGGAAGAACTGTTGCCTGGGCGACACTGATAGAAACAGGAAGCAAACAGGAAGGAGCAAGTTTCTTCTCCCTTCTTCCTGCTTCTGATCTCCCACTGTTTGCAGAATCTAACAGAGAGTCAGCCTGGCAGAGGATAAATGGGAATTTCAGAGACCCAGCCTCGGCACCACAAAACACAGTATGGGTGGGCAGGTTGGAAGCTGAGGAACAATTTCTTTATAACCAGCAGTTAGACGAACATTGTTGAGTACATCCAAAAAAATAAGGCCCTATCCGGTTTGGCTCAGTGGATAGAGCATCAGCCTGCTAGCTGAAGGGTCCCAGGTTCGATTCCAGTCAAGGGCATGCATCTTGGTTGCGGGCACATTCCCAGTAGGAGGCGTGCAGGAGGCAGTTGATCAATGTTTCTCTTTCATTGATGTTTCTAGCTCTCTAACCCTCTCCCTTCTTCTCTGTAAAAAATCAATAAAATATATATTTTTTTAAAAAGGGGGATAAGGGAGAGGCAGGAGTCTAGGGCATTTTACAAGTTTCTAGCATCAGTAACTAAATGAAAGAGAAAGAAGTAGAATATATGTGAAGTGAGCAGTAGAGAGGAGCTGGAGTATATAGCGTGTGAAAAGATCTGTTGGGGTTGATAAATTTAGTTCAAAAACAATAAAAGGCATAAACCTCATTGTATTTGAAACAATGGAAGGGTATATTTAAAACAATGCATAGCTTTCTATTTCCCAATCATCTTTTACTCCACTTAGAAGTACAATATCATATACTTTCTCCTATACCTTACAATAAGCCTTCTTCTTGTCTCAAGATAGTAACAAAAGTTTGGTATATGCTCTTAACAAAATTATCTAAAAAGTTTTCTTGAATACTTGGCTTCGAACATTGGTTGTTGATGTGAGAGTAAGGCAATAGTCTCGAAAGTAAATAATTTTCACTGAATCCTCATATTTTTAGTATGGCACCCTATTCTTAAGCAGACAAGATACCCTTTCCAGGAATCAATCCTAAGCATTCTTCAAAGGCCATGGAGGGACAGTTACTTGGGATCCAGGGGGAAAATCTGGTGATTTAACTACTTATGAAATAGATTTTTAATCCATTGATTTTTAGAGAAAGTGGGAGGGAAGGAGAGATGGGGAGAAAGAGAAACATAGATGTGAGAGAGACACATCAATTGGTTGCCTCCTGCATGTGCTCCAACCATGGGAGGCCTGCAACCCAGGGACATACCCTTAACTGGGAATCAAACCTGCAACCACTCTATCTGCGGGCCAAAGCTCTAACCACTGAGAATACTAGTCAAGGCTACCTCTGCTTCTGATCTCCCACATCCAGCTACGATACACACATCCATAGCTGGTTTGGCTCATTGAATAGAACACTGGCCTGCAGACCAAAGGGTCCTGGGTTTTTGATTCTTGTCAAGGCCATGTAATTTGGTTGCAGGCTCCTCCCCAGCCTTGGGCCCTACTTGGGGCTTGTAGAGGAGGCACCAATCAATGTGTTTCTCTCACATTTGATGTTTCTGTCTTTTCCTCTCTCTTTCACTCTCCCTAAAAATCAATGTAAAAATATCCTCTGGTGAGGATTAACAATAAAATTATATATATATACTAGTGGCCTGGTGCATGGATTCATGCACATTGAAAGGAAATTAATTAGAAGAAAGATTCGTGCAGTAATTACATTACTGCAAAAAATTACGCGTCAAAATAGTATATATAATATAGTATAAAATTAAAATACAAAATATTTTAATATCGCTATTTGCCCTTTCATAGAAGTTTCAGAGATGAAAGAAAGTAAAATGTATATGAAAATAATATATATATATATATTAATAAGTAAACAATATTCTGTCGATGATGTCACTTTCTTTTGGCTTCAGAGGTACGTTGTGCCAATAGTTGGTCTTCAGGTACATTCTGGCATCCCATGCGATTGGTGCCAGTGAGAGCTTTATATGTATATGCATATGTGAGTCAATGCTTTTTTTTTTTAAATTGCCAGTGTGTGTCATATGAACTGACTAGTTGGTTAGATAGACAGTTGGACAGTCACTTAGCCTTTTATATATATAGACTAGAGGCCCAACGTATGAAATTACACAAGGTAGCCTGCCCCATGTGTGCTGCCCCACCTCGCCATACTCACCACCTTACACCACCTGCCACCCACCTTGCTGCAATTGGAACCTATGGGCCACGGAGGAGGCACCTAGAAGTGTTCAATGCACCTCATGGCAACTGGTCTAGCTGTTGTTCCGGTCATGATGCTTATGGCCTCTGGCCTTTTATTATATAGGATATATTTTTTTTAATTATTCATTTAAAAGAGGAAGGGAGAGGGAGAGAAAGATAGAAACATCAATGTTGAGAGAGAACCAATTGATCAGCTGCCTCTTATGTGCCTCACATTGGGGATTGAGCCCATCACTCAGGCTTATGCCCTGACTGGGAACCAAACTGTGACCTCCTGGTTCATAGATCAACACTCAGCCCAATGACAGCACTCACTGCAGAACCAAAGGAATGCTGATTCACCAGTCTTCCCATCCCCTATTATTAGGTGAACTTGTCCCATTGGAGACATGTGTGTTCCACCCTCATTCTTCATGGAATTTTTTTGAAATGAATACAGGCATCTTTCCCAAGAGGTAGTCTCATTCCAGTTCTTTAGGAGAAAAACAGTTCCCCATATCTCTACTAAACTATCAAAAAAAGGATACCCTGTCCTCACTTGCTAAGTCTTTTATGTTTCCAACTAGCTTGGCAAGCTTCTTGAGTGCCTTGCTACAGGTTTTTTAAATCTTCATAATACAAAAGTTTATAGAAGAGATCTGTGGGCAGAAAGTATGAATAGAATTTCAATAGAAGGAAATAGTTTTTCAGAAAGAGCCTAATTAGTGGTTCTAAGTTTGACCTTTATTTTCAACACGCTAAACAAATCCAAGAAAGGTACCATATTAAAAACCTTTCTTGTGTAGCTTCAGCGCTGGATACTCTATTCAACAGGTTTTAGTTGACCTGTGTGGCACTCATTCATTATTAGTAGCTTTCATTTCCTATATCAGTTAGGGATTATTTTCCTGGTAACAAAGATTTGGTTGCAGTGGCTTTTAAAAATTAGTTTTGCCCTAGCTGATTTGGTTCAGTGGATAGACCCCTGAAACTGAAGAGTCCTGGATTCAATTCTGGTCAAGGACGGGTTCTTAGGGTGCAGGCTAGATCCCTGGCCCCAGTCAGGGTGTGTGAGCGAGGCAACCAATGGATGTCTCTCTCATATCCATGCTTCTCTCTCTATGTCTCTCCCCTCCCTGCCACTTCCTCTAAAAATTAATGGAAAAATATCCTCTGGTAAGGATTAATAAAAAAAATTTAATTTATTTTCTCAGTTAAAAAAAGTCCAGAATTAGGTAATTTAGTGTTAATATGAAAATGACAGAAGGCTTAAAGGATCCAGGCTTTGTTACTTCTCCATTCTATATTTCTAAGCCTTTGGCTTCCATCATTGTCAAGGTGCCACTACAGTCAGACCCTCATCTTAGCCTGAAATAAGTAGAAAGGCAATGACAAAATGGCAAAACAACCACAAACTCATACACACACACACACACACACACACACACACACACACAAAAAAAAAAATCCCTGTGGTAGTTGTCTGCACTCTTTTTTGGAACTTTATCATAAGTCCAATGCAAAAAGTTTTAGTTATACTTCATCGGCCAGAACTTAAGTGACATGGTCATACTCATTCTCAATGGAGACAAAATGTTTTTGTAAGTGCAATTTTAAAATCTCCTGCCTTCTGTTATTAAGCATAAGAGGAGGATGGCTCTGAGGCAGGCCACTCCCTGCCACAGTTCCTTTTGAGTTTTCTGTACATGATTTCCCAATGTTTGGCATGAGGTTGTCCTTAGACTCAATGAATAAATTCATAATGCGTTTATAGATAAATCAAGCAGTTCACAGTATGATCTTTTTTTAAAAATTAATTTTGTTTCTAGAGCAGTTCGATCTTTACAGAAAATTTTAGCAGAAAGTACAGAGAGTTCCCATACACCTCCCTAACCACCCTCATACAATTTCCCTTATTACTAACATAGTGTGATCTTTGTTAATATTGACACATTATTACCAACTGAAGTCTACAGTTGATTTTAAGGTTTTCTCGTTTTGCAGAGTTCTATGGGTTTTGACACATGCATCATGTATCCATTACTACAATATCATACAGAATAGTTTACTGCCCTAAAAATCCTATGCACACCTTCCTCCCTCCGAAGGAACCCCTGATCTTCTTATTAAACAGAAAGACAATTTTTTTGAGAGAGAGGAAAGAAGAGAGGGAGAGAGAGGGAAGCATTGATGTGAGAGTGGCTGCCTCCTGCACATCCCCCACCCAGGGATCAAACTGAAACCTGAGCACGTGCCTTGACAGGGATTTGAACTGGCAACCTTTCGGTGCATAGATAACACCCAACCAACTGAGCCACACTGATCAGGGCCAATGATCTTCTTACTGTCACCACACTTTTCCCTTTTCCAGAATGTCATATAGTTGGAATCATACACTATACCCTTTTCAGACTGGTTTCTTTCACTGAGCAATATGCATTTAAGTTTCCTCCATGTCTTTCTGTGGCTTAATAGTTCATTATCTTATTATAATAAAAGCATAATATGCTAATTAGACCGGATGCCCTTCTGTACGATCTTCAG